ATTTTAGGTGATACTGAACACAATGATATGTACATCCTTCGATTGATTTCCCTCTTTCCCGTTCAGTAATATTGATTAATATCCATACAAAAGTACAACAAATTCAGCAAGTGTCAGTTGAGTATGTTTTGTTTTGCAATTGTGTGAAAGAAAGATAGGAACTGCAGAGCAAATATGCAGAGAGGACCCTACTAGGGTAGACTTCAGACTGTAGTTATTTATTGTGCTGATTTTTTTTGGGGGGGGTGTGCCACAAACTGCAGTGAAGAATTGACCCCCCAAAAGCCCAGTTCATAATTCCTGGCAGTGATTCAAATGCAAGCAATGCAGTTGTCTCCATACTGAATTTGACCTTGGTTTGGGTCAACTGATCCTGTAACAATACAAGGCCACACTGTCACAAGTGATTAATTGTTTCACCATGTTTCTAATTTAGAATTCAGTTTGGTTTTCTTTTAGTGATCATGCAATGTGTAGATTTAACATTGGTTGTAAGTTCAATGATGAATATTCAGTAATAGACTGAACTTAGTCACCCATAGTATGTGAGTGTACCAAAGAAGGTAGGAGTGTGTCTTTTTTATGACTATGTGCCATAGTTACCAGTGCAGTTGATTACTACTGAGGCATTTTAGGGCGCCTTTGTTGCAATTATGTACAATAGTGTAGCAGTATAAATGACTGGTGGAGTGTCGACATTTGCCAAATACTTTCCAAATTCTGAATTCCTTGGGTGTGGCCTGTTTTGGCTGTGCTTACTCACTATATACACTATATAATATTTTTCAAGAAATCTTATCCTGTTGGCCTGAAGCCTTAACAGCCAAGAACTGCAGACTTTGTTGGTGTACTGCATGCCTAGAGTTTCCTCAAGACATTTTCTGAAGATGCTAACTGTAAGTTTTAAGAAGTTTTTCTCTATTTTTTTATGAAAACGTCTAAATGTATAACAGATTCACAGTAATCTTGGTATCACGAGGTAGAACACAGCTTTTTAGTTGGGATTTTGGTCTATAAAATTTACAACTTTAGATGACACAAGTTATGGGGGTTCTCAGCTACTGAAGGAGAATTTCTAACACAACTCAAAGGTGGACTGCATCTTTAATGTGGAAGTCTGACGGCCCTTTTCTGAAGTAATTCAAAATGCTTACTGAATTGACTCGCTCAATGAGGAAGAAACTGGCGTCAGCACATCATTTTATATGTATAAAAACAATATGGATATCTGTTAAGTTTTGAAGGATTTTGATGTGACGTATAATTTGGTGTCTTTTTGCTAAAGAATTTTTGACTGCATGCCAAGTAAATAATTGTACGGAATAACAAAACTGTGAAGAGTATTTCTTTGACATTAGAAAATGTAAAAAGGATATTGGAAAAATTGAATGAGGTTTAAGATTGCAATTCATTCATGTAAACAAAGGAAATCTGAGAATTGTTAGATAAGAAGTGTGATTAGTCAAATTGCGGTAAAGTTTGCAAATTTAGAAGTTAATCACGGAATTTGAGAGTTAATATGCAACACTGAGAATCCAAAAGAAAAACTGCGAATCAGAAAGAAGAGGTTGGAAGAGAGTTGTGAATGTTAACTAAACAGAACTTAACGAAGATGTTTAGACTTTAGAGATTAAAAGAGAATAAAGAAAAGATTCAGATTTTGAGAGGTCGACATTACAGAGAAATATTATAAATTTAGGATTAACAGAAAGTCAAGAAAAGTTAACATGAGAAAGTGATAATCAAACAAGAAAGATCTGCAGTTTTGACAGTTTTAAAAGATTTTGGTCATTTGAAAGAATCAAAGGAATACATGTATTAAATTGAAGTGTAAAATGAAAGATTCAGTGAACTGAAAATTAAGAATCAGTTTCAGAGAAGTGTGAAAAAAAGTTGAAGGCAAGACAAGTAAGAATTCCTGAACCTTCTATGTGATATTGATTGATTGCTTGATCGATCGATTGATTGAAACTGGAAATTTACCACACACAAATTCTGTTCATACTTTGGAAATTTTAGGTGGACAGGGCACATTTTAATTTGTAAATACTCTGTACAGTTTGACTGTCACATACGACATGAATACATTTTGCTATTAAAATTGGTAATTCAGTAGATGACTTTAAAAGCATTCAGAAAACTTGCAATCACTTTCGCTTACAGTTGGGTTGACTAGTTGTGAATAAACAGTTACAAAAGTAGTGGTTTTGGTAGAATATATTTTCATAATTCCAGATTGCTTCAATTGTTTTTTAATTTGTCAGTGGTCCATAGTATCTGCCCTGTTCAATCCCTTTCAAATTGTCTGCAGAGAATCTTTAAGAGGTTGGGGTGACACACATCTTATTGTCAGAAAATGGAAAAATGTATGATTCTTGTGGGTTATCTCACTTTTTCTTTTTCTGCGCACCTTGTTCTAAAAGGATATTTTCCAACCTTACACAACCCAAATGGAACCATCTGTGGTATACAATGATGGAGGTCATAACGTTTAACCCCCTTGCTCACCCAATCCATTGTGTTCGGGGAACCTCCCCAAAGTCCTGTTTTTGGACATAGAATGTCAGTTTCAATTGGTTGGGGGCTTAATCAAATTGGAGATTGCAGGCTGTTGGAAGCTGGGAGAAAATTTGCTGATTCTGCTAATTAGAGTTACACAATGAACCTTCAAACCAACGGGGAAGTTTATATACAAATCAAACTTCAAGGAAGGGTTGGTTAAACTTGAGAGTGACCATTCATATTCTTGATGGAAATATCCATCAAGAGACTCCAAAGGGCATTTAAGGGCCTATGCCAGGGTCAGAATTCAGCTTGCCCCCATACCACCCAGCAAACCACTTGTCAACAGCCCGGCACTAAAGTTGACATAAAGCCATATGGGGTAAATTGCTGTAATTAGAATATTTTGTAATTTACCTGTACGTAACTTCATTTTGAGTTTATTTTGATGACTTAGTATTATGAACTGTTTTACTGTTAATGTTAATAGACTT